TTTTTTTTTTTCATGGAAAGTTAGGTAGACAATAGCATACTTCCATTTTAATCACACGTTAACCAAGTTTCCTATTACATTTAGGAGGGGTGGGAATTTTGTTTTTTCTTTTATTTTATAGGCTTATTACTTTGTAAAGAGAACATTTTTAAGTTCAAAAAATTAAGAGAAATGAAAGAGAAAGGGCTAATTCTAATACGGGTCTGGACTGTCAACATGGGAAACTCTTAGTCTAAGGTAACAGTCTTTACTTTCAGCCATGTTTTAATTAAGCCCATTTGTCAAAAAGCTAAATACCACAAAAGCTTTTGTGACCATAATCTGTTCATAACAAGTGCTCCTAATAATAGCCTTGATGGGCTGTATGATTGAGATAATCTGTCTGAATAATCATAGACCAAACACTTTATATTCTGGAGTTTTAAAAATTATACTGCATTTTTATTCCTTGAAAAGTTACAATGCATGTAAAATAGATGTGACTCTCCATTAACCTGAATATTAAGTTAACTTCCCATTTCTTCATCATTTTACCAATACTTTTTTCTTCTCCCCACTTACCCTCCCAACACAAATGTACTTATACACACACACACACAACCACACCCACATGGGGGAATCATGATTGTTTTTCATGGTTGAGACTAACTGCATCCACAAAAAAAAAAAAAAAAAAAATGCAAAGATGAATTAGACAACCTAGAATATTTTAACAGAATAAGGACTTTTTCTCTAAGCTCTAAAGTTTCACCAGGCATTAGTAGGGAAGCTTGCCCTTGTTCTCCCTACTCACTCAATATATAAATAATGTATACTAAAAGAAGAGCTTTAAAGACTTCCAGAAGAAAGTATGCTATACTTATTTAAATAGCACCTTGTTTATAAAACATCAAGAGAATTCATTTAAACCTTTATCACTGAGACGGTGCTGGCATTAACAGCAAAATCGTTTCTTAGGCTGACCTTATAAGCCTTTAAGCCTATGTCCCTCACTTGTTAATCCCTTGTAGTTTAACTTGCTCTCCTAAAACTCTTTTCTCAAAGATTGCTAATGAATTGCCACACTACCAGATCCAACAATATCTTCTCATCGGTGGTCATCCTCTAAATAGTCTAGTCACAATTACACTGATGACCACTCCCTTCCTACAATTCTTTCCTACCTCAGAGTCTATGATGTTGGGGTTTCTTCTCTTCCCTTCAGATTATTCTGGCTCTGGTTCTTCCATGATTCTTCCTGTTTCTTAAATATAGGCATTCCCTTAGTTTTTTGGAAGAGAATTGGAATATTTGTTCATTTGTTTAATTTCAACCTTCTTCTCTCTCAACAATCTTAGCAATGCCACCCAACAGTTCCCCTAGACCCACCTTTATAAGTACTTCCTGAATTGGGGCTCTTACTTCTAGCTGCATAGAATGTCTGGCTGCATGTCAATATCTAAATATTCCACCAGCATTTTCCATTCAGTATGTCTAAAATTAACTCACTACTTTCCTTACCAAACCAGTTCCTTCTTTTTAAACTTGCGTCTCTTCTGTTTTCTGCCTCCCAGGTCCCAAAGCTCCAAATCAGAGAGTTAATTCTTACTCTTCAATCCCTTTGCTTCCCTTATCTAATCATTTGATAAGAAATATGGTTCCTTTTACTAAGTAGATCCATCTCTTTGTTTCTGTTCATTCCTCCCCCTCCACGAGTTCAGACATACCATGCACTGGTGCAACCAGTTGTAAAGCGGCCCCTCCTCTTTGTTTTTTATTTCTTATAAAATCTAGCACATAGTCTCAAACAGAGTTGGTGCTCAAGAGATAGTTCTTAAATAAATTAGAGAACAAGTATTAAAGTTCTCAGAGAGGAAGAAATTGTCAACATACAGGTAAGAGAAGGTAAACGAGTGAGTTTTCAAAAGCCTTGACTTAAAATTGAGAAAGAAGGTCTTAGAAATGCTAGCTTTTAAAATTAAAAATGAATTATATTAACACTTTGGAACCTGTTCTGTGGCAGACTGCAGACAAAAATCTGACAAATAAACCTTTTAGCACTTTGGAAAGAAACATGCCAGATTCTTAATCTTTTAAAAAGTCATTAAGATTCTGAAGAAATCTCACTGCTTGGGGTGTTTTACAATCATGGTTATTCTCAATTCCCAAGGCACTTTTTTTTTTAATTTGGTACTAGTTTTTTAGGTCTAGGGTATCCTCTCATCATTCTGTTCTTCAAGTAGATAACTACAATGCCCTAGAAACTTTCAGTGACTTAAATATCACTATGAAAAAAAATCACTTTTTGCAGCAACTAGGACATGAACCAAAGATACCAGTTTTAAGATTTATTTAACTTCATTGATATAAAATGAGAATACCTACAGCTTAGTATCCTAGTCCCTACATGTGGTAAATACTTGTATATAATAGCTATTAAAATTTTCTTAAGAACTCTGAAATCTCTTTGCAACAAGTTTACAATCCACATGGAAATTCTGATGACTTAGATGCAGTACTTATATTTGAGAGGTTTTGTTTTGCTTAGCTTCCAAGTGCTTATCCTAGGATAAAAATTGGCCTATCCTGGATGTTCCATTTATCTGTTGCTGCATAACAAAGTACTCAAAATTTAGTGGCATAAACAGCTATTTATTAATATTTACTAATGCTATGTATGGGTCAGGATTTTGACCAGGTTCAGCAAGGATGGCTTATCTCTGCTTCATGATGTCCAAAGCAGTGGTTTTCAACTTGTGCCATGAGAGGATCTTAGGTGTGCTGCAAATCTGATCTTTTTTCAAGATCATTAATTAAATTATTTTTTAAAGAAGTTCAAAGCACAGTAAGTATATTCTTTTTTTTAACTTTCTTTTTTAATCACCATAATTTAAGTGTGCCACAGAAGTTTAACTATATGTTCAAGTGTGCTGTGAGATGAAAAAGGTTGAAAAACATTGCTCTAAAACTTCCACCAAGGAAAGACTCTGGGTGCTGGAATTACCTGGAGGCTTCTTGATGCATGCCCACAACTTGGGCTGTGATGACTTGAAGATGTGCTAACCTGAGGCTGCCAGCTAAGCACTTGTATTGGGTCTTCTGTGTGTCTTGGACAAATTTGTAGCTGAGAGCTACCAAGAGAGAGTGCTTTCCAAGAGCAGAAGAGATGGCATTTTAAATGAAGGGATTAAAATCTTTGCTTACAACATTTTATTCTGGCCTATCATTCTCTGCATTTACCAAGGGTTATTTCCTGACTTGCATTTTCACAGAAACAATGCATATAACAAAAATTCTGTATTTGCCCATCAGGAGATTGTACATTGTGGTAAAAATCTAAAATAGACAAATTTTGAAAAGGAGGACATACTTTTTTGCAATAAGATGGCATATATTTATTATAGGGAAAAAATCAAGCAAATTACATCAGTGTTCTTCATATACTGATCAGTATATAATTTGCTAACAGCTTAAAAACCTTTAGAATCCTTTAAACCCAAGGTCTAGGGTATATAGTTGCATTGTGTTTGCTTTGTTCCTTTACTCTAAACCTGAAAGTCAGTTTTAATAGTTTTGGTAATTCAGGGAATCAAAAAGGAAATTAGCTGACATCAAATAAGCCTATGACCTAAACAATTTGAAGCAATAGCTTTACATTTGAGAACTTGTAGATGATATGAAACTTTCGTCAGCTATTATACATATTTTCAAAATCTCTGTTGAAAGAAGATTCAGATTCTAATACATCCTCCAGCAGAGTTAACGAGCTAGATGGAAAATACCTCATTAATTTCTTGAGCCCCCTTGTGAGGCCAGAAAATGACATTCTCATCTAACAGCTGGAAAAACTGAAGAAGTAGTGAATGTAACTGTGCTCAGTTACAATGGAAAAAAAAGCTCTAATATACTCTGAGATAGGGATATGAAAGAATATTGCATATACAGAGACCCCTGCCTTATTTTGAAGGAATCAATATCTGCTTTTTAAAGATAAAGCAGTTAAACCTTTGGATCTTGGCCTTATCCCTTTTGGCAGAGTAAATTATTGTCTCATGGCCTGGCAGTGCAGTCACCTTTTTAATATACTTTAAATAGCTTTTCCCTAATCCATACAACCTAACATCTCCCCAATCATGAATCTGCAGCAAACTTATTTGTCTCTTTTTCTATAGATTTTTTTTAAACTATAAACATTCAAGAAATAAATCTTTACAAAGTACATAGAAATATTCACTGGCAAGTAAAAAAGAACAAATTGAATCGATTTGTAGTTCTATAAAAACAAATTTGGCATTTTATTTAGAAGTTGCACACCACCAAATAGTTTTGAGTTCTTCTCGATGTATTTGTTTTGCTGAAAATGAAATGTTTTACTTGAACGGAAATGGGCTCAAGTTACTTCCAACATTGGTATCGGATTGATTTTTCTAGGTTAAAGGAATGTCAAAGTTAAGTGCCTCGGACGTATTGGGGGAAAATATTATACAATTTTAAACAGATTTAAAAAATAAAAATAAAAATAAACAGGGAAATTTAACATCCTTTCCGTATTATCAACATAGGGCTTTGTGTAACTACTGTGACATCAAGCTTTAAACAGAGAAAGCTTTACCTCCGCGTGTCCAATAGAAATACAATATGTAAATTACCCCATATTATCTGTGTGCTGATTGGCCTGAGTTACCCCGAATGTCACAATCTCACCACCCAGCAATGAGGTATTTTACTGCTGTCTCGAGATCAGATTATTACTGTAGAGAAGATTTTTATTTTTTCTGTTTCATTAACAGATTATTATAAAGCGTTAAACATGCAGGAAGAGAAGCAGACGTTTAACGTTGGGAATTAATGAAAGCATGTCTGCCTGCATTTTAGGAGGTTAAAAGGTTGTTGCTTAAAATTTTATGCCACCCCACAAACAAAACTCTTCGGAAATGGTAAAATAAGAAAATGCATGATTCTAGAGACATCCCTAAGCACCCACGTGTCAGGCTATGTGGTGTCTGTGATATCATCGGACCTTTTGGACTGGTGTAAGTTTTATATATTCGTTATATTCCTAGTATTTTTCATCTGTAATAACAAAGGGGGGAGAAAGAAACTCGTACACACAACTGCTTTGACATCACCAATCTACTGGTCAGCTGAACTTGCAAGAAGGGAATAGAAAGGCTGTTGCTCAGTGGGGTGGAAAGCCAGGAATAGTCATTAAAAATTTTGTAAGCCTGATCCTCTAGTCATATCCCTTAAGGAAGACTGGATGTGAATCTTTTTGTAGTTGTCCTCTGAACTTAGCGTGTTCATTCTTACACTCATGTTTTCGTGCATTCGCGAATAGAAGATGACTAACAAAGACAGGGCTTCTCTAACCTGCTTCCCTTCTTTCCCATTGACGATATTTTTGATGTGCTTTTTAAAATTTTTTCTTTCTTCCCCGCCCCCATTCATTCTCTCATTCTCTCTCTTTCCTTTCTCTGCCTCTTTATTTTTTCCTTTTTCTTCCAGCTAACCTGCAAATTCAAAGGTCAGCTGGGGAAATCATTTAAGAAGAAATCTCAAAGAAACTTTCAATGCTTTGGACCACCCTAAAAGAAAAAGGAAGAAAATGTTTGGGGAAGGCAAGGGTTCCGGGAACCTGAGGAGGGGGCGGGCGTCCCAGGCGCTGTGGCTTCCTCGTGCACTGCCGTAGGGAAGAGGATGGGCCTGTGGTCCTGAACGAGCCTTTCCAAGCCCCGGCTTCAAATGCGGGGAGGGAAAAGTTCAGAAGCAGCCACAAGGGGACAAAAGCTTAATTTTGTCAGTTGAACCAAACGAGGCATTCGATAAACCCAGTCAGATCTGGAGACGGTTAGGGGTTCCTGTTGGCTCCACAGAGGCTCAAGCAGCCCCTGCCGCCGCCCTCGCCACTGCCGCCGCCGCCGCGGCGGCCCCTGCGTTACTGGGGGAGACGGTGCCGCTGCGACAGGGGAGGACGCGGCTGGAGCTCAAGGAGGCTCCAGCGCGCAGGCGCCGCCGAGCCCTGCCTGGATGCTCAGTCAAGGCACTAAGGAAAAAAAAAAAAAATCAGCAATTTATAGAAAGAAGAAGCTATAGTCTGTCGGGATATCCAACACCAACAGGTAGGAGGATATACTCTCGGTTAAGTTTGGGGGTGGGGGAGATGCACAATGTTGATGAAACTGCAGGTTCACCATAAAAGAGCCCTCCTCCCTGTTTTTTTTTTTTTTTTTTTTTTGACAATAAACTGCATAATGGAAGTACATTCAGACAATGCATCTTCAGTAGGGCTTACTGAGAGCTCCATTTCTGGAAAGCGTTGCAAGACTGAGGAATATCAGACTGCGAATCACCGGGAACCGTTCCCTTGCAGCACAGAAGCAATCTCTCTCCCTATCTTCGCGTATGTAATGCATGTCTCTCTCCCTCTCCCCCTCCTCCACTCCCCCCACCCCCCATTATAAATCCAGGGGTGGCGGATTTCAGGTTTCGTAATGTTGCATGATGAGATCGGTATTTACCCGGGGATGTACCGGTGGGGAAATTAAAATCATCGAACGCAGTTTTGCCTGGGTTTCCATCAGCATATTCCGGGCAAGAGAGAAGTGGCAAAGGAAACACGCTTCGTTCGTGGGGATAAGGGAGGAAGCCGATTTCCCTAGTGTGGTTCCCAGGAACCTAGTAGACAATGTGCTTTTTGCTTTAAAATGAAGCCACTTGTGAACAACAAAGATTATCAGTGTAAATGGGAAAGGCTTAGTTGCCCAAGAAATACAGGTTCATGTTATATTCATTTGAATACAGGCAGCCAAAATTTACAAATGCAAGTGCATTATTCCTCTGGGTGTGTTTCCCTGGCCAATATTTACATTAACCATTTTTAATAATCATGTGGGCTTAAAAGAGATTTGCCAAAAATGGGGGTGGGGTGGGGAGGGAAAGACAAAAGATTAAATCACATCAGTTCTTGAAACAAGTTCCTGTTAATTTTGAAGTCTAATATTGAAATTTTGCTTTAAGATGAATCAACAAATACTCTTATGCAGCATGAATAGTGGCACTTGAGTTAAAAGACATATATTTTGCACGGGTTCTTTGGCTCCATATCAGCAGACAAGCTGCCTGTGAACCACTGACAGATACCGGCAGACCTTAAATAAATATAGGTAGTCTCTTATTAGCAATCTTGTAGATTCCATTGCAATTCTAGTGATTAATTCCTGGACTGACATATTTTACAACTGTGGAACATTTTATCCCTTCTCTCCTAAAGGTACTCAATCAAATGTATATTCATTTAAAAAGGGACATTTTTTTAATTCACCTAGCTGAGAAAACTAAACGAGCCAATTTTCTGAAATCCCAAGCAAAAATACTTACTAAAGCAAATAATAGTATTAAAAATTAAAACTTTATTTGCTTCCATAAGTGAACAGCTTTTTGTTAGCACTCTCTGACATCATTGCTTGTTAACTTAAGAACTGATAGCTCATTTTTTTTTTCCAGATATTCTGATGGCAAATCAAACGGAAGAAAACAGGAAGCATGACTGCAGATCGGATCAGTTCTCCTTGTGGATTACATTTTTAGTAAAATGTATGGATCTATCTTTTCCTTGTTCTATCTAGATCATGAGACTTAACTGAGGCTGTATCCTTATCCTCCATCCATCTATGGCGAACTACAGCCATGCAGCTGACAACATTTTGCAAAATCTCTCACCTCTAACAGCCTTTCTGAAACTGACTTCCTTGGGTTTCATAATAGGAGTCAGCGTGGTGGGCAACCTCTTGATCTCCATTTTGCTAGTGAAAGATAAGACCTTGCATAGAGCACCTTACTACTTCCTGTTGGATCTTTGCTGTTCAGATATCCTCAGATCTGCAATTTGTTTCCCATTTGTATTCAACTCTGTCAAAAATGGCTCAACGTGGACCTATGGGACTCTGACTTGCAAAGTGATTGCCTTTCTGGGGGTTTTGTCCTGTTTCCACACTGCTTTCATGCTCTTCTGCATCAGTGTCACCAGATACTTAGCTATCGCCCATCACCGCTTCTATACAAAGAGGTTGACCTTTTGGACGTGTCTGGCTGTGATCTGTATGGTGTGGACTCTGTCTGTGGCCATGGCATTTCCCCCGGTTTTAGATGTGGGCACTTACTCATTCATTAGGGAGGAAGATCAATGCACCTTCCAACACCGCTCCTTCAGGGCTAATGATTCCTTAGGATTTATGCTGCTCCTTGCTCTCATCCTCCTAGCCACACAGCTTGTCTACCTCAAGCTGATATTTTTTGTCCACGATCGAAGGAAAATGAAGCCAGTCCAGTTTGTAGCAGCAGTCAGCCAGAACTGGACTTTTCATGGTCCTGGAGCCAGTGGCCAGGCAGCTGCCAACTGGCTTGCCGGATTTGGAAGGGGTCCCACACCACCCACCTTGCTGGGCATCAGGCAAAATGCAAACACCACAGGCAGAAGAAGGCTATTGGTCTTAGACGAGTTCAAAATGGAGAAAAGAATCAGCAGAATGTTCTATATAATGACTTTTCTCTTTCTAACCTTGTGGGGCCCCTACCTGGTGGCCTGTTACTGGAGAGTTTTTGCAAGAGGGCCTGTGGTACCAGGGGGATTTTTAACAGCCGCTGTCTGGATGAGTTTTGCCCAAGCAGGAATCAATCCTTTTGTCTGCATTTTCTCCAACAGGGAGCTGAGGCGCTGTTTCAGCACAACCCTTCTTTACTGCAGAAAATCCAGGTTACCAAGGGAACCTTACTGTGTTATATGAAGGAGCATCTGTAAATCTTTAGCTTTGTGAAACACTAACCTTCTCTGCTGAGCAATTGTGGCCCATAGCCATATCTTGAGAAGAATTCAAGAATGGAATCAGCAGTTATAAGGATATGGGCAACATTCTGCAATCTTTGCAATAGTTCACCTATAATCCTATTTTAAATCTCAGAGTGATCCTGCTGACTGCCGGTGAAGGTTTGTAATTAAGAATGGACTGAACCACTGCCCTAAGTTTCTTCATGTGGTCCAAACTAGAAAAGGAAAGTAGCAGGTGCTAAGTATCAGTGCTAAATGCTGTGTATATCACTACTTATGAAAAAAACATCAAACAAACAATTAGCATTGGACATCTTAATAAATTAAGTCGACATGAGGTAAATGTGTTGATAAAAACTAATTTTAGAAGTTTGAAGACTTTAAAACATTTCATACTATTATTGTTTTGCAAAGACTAAACTATTTGGGAACTTAAAGTACTGTAATACACTAAAGACGTGCCATGAATTACTGGAATATCACACTTTAAAAACCGCCTTGTAAGTTTTGGGGAGCATTCCAAAGCAGTATATTGGTTCCAATTAGAGTTTACGTTTTTTTGTATTAATACATTACTATTTCTAAATACCACTTTCCTTATCTACTAGTGAAATTGCTAGCTGAACTGTATTATGTGGTTTTTGTTGATTTGATATAAAGTTTTCCCAATTCATTTATATTTTACAAATGCTAGATATTGAACTGGGAGGCAACATCAATGGTTACCAGAGGATCATAATTGAACAGTTCTAATAATGCAGAATAAACACATGTTGCCTTAAAGGGTTATCTAGTATCCTTCATCTTACTTAGCATTGGAGCAAATAGTGAAGGGAAATTGGATCGGTAACTGGCCCTGGTAGTGCATCTGGAAGTGCATAAAAGATCACTTAAGGCTCCTTTTCCTTTTCCTCACATGGTTTGAAAATGAAGGTGCACATCACTGAAATAATGAGATTGCCCTCTGAGGTGTGCTACCCATTCTGGAGCATTCTAGGAAGCAGGCAGTTGATACATGTTTATATTTTAGGTCAGCTGTCAAGGGGAGACCACAGCCTTAGTATGACATCCTGCACAATTTGTGAAGCATTTATTCTACTGAAGGCACAGTCTTGTTTATACTTTCTGCACATTCAGTGTATTGGTCGTTTAAATTATTTCAGTTTAACTTGTGAAAGCTTATAATATAATTTCTGGTATTTTAGAAATACATTAGAGTCTGTGAGTCTCATTCTTTAAGATACAAATGTGTGAACTTCAATATAAAGTTGCATTTGCCAAAATTTACCCGTGTAGCCTGTTAATTTTCTTGGAATAAATTTTACATTTTTGGCATATAATAATTTTTCTTAAAATCTGGGAGGCAAGCACAAACTAGGAAGACTAGCTTTATTATGATTTCATTTTTGATTTTTGATTATTTTGTAGCTACAATATTTTTTGATCTGGAAATGTATGCATAATACTGAGCCTAAGCTGATAAACTGACATAATATCTGTAAAAGCATTATTTGGTATCTTATATTCATCCCTCTATTTCTTCTTAGATGCCAGCAGTATGTAGAAATGTATACTGCTTTAGTTTATTGGTTCAGAATTTTAATATAAATATTACATTTCAATTTGGAGCACAGTACTGTAGAAATTTGGGTTCTAAATATTTAAGTCATAAGAAGAATGGTTTATATTAACGTTATGACAAAACTAAGAAAAGTTTTTACTTTTGTTTGCTTTCTGTTGTTTCATTTGTTTTATGTTGGTTTTTTTTTTATGGAGTTTCTTTGGTATTTGAAAAATAATATTAGGAATCTAATGAAACAGAATTCCTGATTGCTATGGTACTTCTGTAATGAGAATATCAATACTGATAAGGAAAAATAAATTAACGAAATGTTTCAATGATTTATGCAACTATTCAATTTTGCTCATAAAAAGACAGCTTAAGCCATGATTTAATGAGCACTCTGACCTCATTTTTACTTTACGCCAAAGCTGACTGGCTCTAAGGTAACGTTTAATGCACAACAGTGAATTGGATCTAGCAATAAAGCCTCCTTGTTGGTACTAAAATCATTATCTGAAATACAATAAAAAAATGTTATCAAAAGATGTTCTGATAACATTGTTTTCCAACTCAAAAATTTTATAATAGAATCATAGTTGCAATGATATATTTATGAAGAACTTTGCTTAGAGGTTCAAATATCACCAGCAAGCAGTAGAATATTCAGCAATAATCATGAAGCCAGAAAGAGCAAGTCTTACCAACACTAGCCTCCATTGCATAGATAAAACTCTGGCATGGAGTAAGGGGAATTGAGGAATCCCGAGGAAGAACCAGTTGAAAGCTGCCTGGCTTCACCTAACTATGTGAATTAACAGTTTTTGTAAGTCACCTGCCCCAGTGATTTATGAATAAGGCTGAGTTGTAGTGACTTTCATTTCAGCCTACTCCCAACTAGTGTAGCATTTGCAGGTCAAGAATGAAGCAGTGGACAAGACCTAACCCTGGTAAATCAATGCCATTTGTACAGCAGTGAGTAATTGTAGTAACCGTACCAAAAAAGGTCGCCCCTGTGTCTTAATGACCAAATAGCATTATCTATTTTGGCACCTATTCCAATATTCATTATTTAATGCTACTAGTCTTTAACCCATAAAAATGCATCCCCTGGGGGATGGTCCAACTTGCCTATGGGAAAAAACTCAATAATAAGAAGTCCCTCATGGACTAATTACACAACCCAGGTGAACAGTGTTTAAATTGTTTTCTGTAGTAGTGGTGACATATTTGCATGGATGCACATGTCCCTGCAATCTCTTTGCCTTCCTTTTGTGCACAATGAATTTGTGAGCTGCCTGACCGAAGCTGGGTTTTCAGTCTGTGGCTGTGGAATCCTACGCAGATAGTAACTGGTAGAACGAGGTGAGTAACTTGCTTACTTCACCACAGAGGTCCCATTTAAATAAAATTAACCAGAGTGATTACATTAAAAAATAATTATTCTTAGATAGGACAACCTATTGACTGAATTATCTTTTTCAGATTTTAGTTGATTGACTTTCAACACCAGCATTTTCCAGTGATTGATTTGTCCTGGTTGACCCATGGTTATGGCCACTTATCCATTGCCTCTGCTTCCATAAATACTACCTGAATTGCTTATTCATTTATTTATTTGTTCAACAAATATGTGTTGGACACTGGAACACAGACAAGCAATTAAGTCTGTGAAAGTGGGAGAAAAAAGATGAAAAAGAAAGGTGGCAACTAAACTAGGTCTTGAAGGATAACACGGGGAAGAGTCTCTCATTGAGATTTCTTAATCTGGTGGGAAAAAAAATAAATATTTAGCACCACAAAGTTATCAGTGGTAATATAGTCAACACTCCTAACACATGTCAATGGCCCTAAACTGACTTCTCCATTTTTACTTGAGTGCCTTCTCTCCTGTCTTTGCTCAGTGCTTCCTGAGATCTCTTCTGTAGAACAATTTAAAGACTGTTCAACTTAGAATAAACACTCCTCCCCCATTTGACTTAAAATTATCAGGAACCTTTCATCCATATTTAGACTAATCACCACATTGTATTTTGGAACCAGTTCCTATGTTGTTAATTCTATCTACAAAATAACAGCAAAACCTAAATGCCAAAGTTTCCTTCACGTCCTGACTGTACACTTCTACAAAACACATATTTCAGTTTCACAAGAGATGAGTCTTTCCTGGTCTACTCCTACCTTCCTCAGAGTTAGTATGAGAATTCCTGGGTAAAACCCAATCAAAGGAAGGACTTGGTTGCGTACATCTTAATGATGACTCCCAGGGGGACTGCCAAATGCCCGAGCAAAGATGGGCATCACTTGTGAAAGGGAATGCATGTCTTTCATTATTGAAGCCTGCCATCCTTTCAACATGTTTATTGCTGCTTATTGGGACTACAAGAAAAATTCCTGATTCCCTGTCAGCTGAAAAGTTAGTTTGGCATCCCAAATTTGCTTCTATTATAAATACAAGGAAACATTTATAATTATATAGACATGTATCTTTCAAGCTAAGCCATGTGATAATGAGTCATATTGGAACTGGAATTACTCTAGGACAGTTGCAAATGGAAACAAACTCTTCACTTCTGTGTATTCACCATTAGATGAATCGACTTGGTTTCCTTATTTTAGACCATGTGTAGCATAGACTGTATTGTTATTAAAGCAAAAAAAAAAAAGCCTACATTAATTCCATATTGAAAAGAAAAGAAAGAAGCTTTTAAGTCATGATAAATGGTGACGTCTCAAATCAAATGAAAGACTTAATTAAGGTAGATGGTTACCAGAGTTGTGAGTTACGATACAAAGATCTTGTGAGCTTGTCTTTCTATGCAAAAGTACATCATTCTCATGATTGTTAATATTTTCTTAGAAATGATTTGAATGGAAATTGCAGGCTCTACTAAGATAATTAGTGATTGCTGACTTATTTTTTGTTGTTATTGTCAACTGTGGGCATGTCAGTGTTCTGTGACTTTCCCAATACCCTTAGAAACTTTTTATATGCTACATCATCTGTATAGCAGTTAAAATGAAAATATCATATGCAAATGACTGGATTATTCTTTGCCATCAGTCAAAATAGTCGAATGAGTTAAAGGCGTATTGGAAACTGGAACAATGTGGGAGAGGGAAGTTTTTTGTTTTGTTTTGTGTTTTTGAACTGTTTCTGCCTTATGCTCCAGTGTAACCAGATCTAAAAATATATATTGAAGCCAAAGGGGCTTTACTTTATAAATAGATTATATAAATAAGTCCTGGTTTTTAAAAGGAAGAAGGAGATTTACACCATCTCCTGTTGCCAGAAAGATGATGTCCATTAGCTGTTCAAACCCTCTGGGTTAAAAGGCTTTAAAGCCCAGTTTCCTCCCACCATATGAGACACACAAAGGCTGGCTCCCTGAAAGGCCCCCAGAGGAAAGCAAGGAGAATTTGTTTCCCTCTGAGGGGTTAGCAAAAAGGCCTCAAAAAAGCCACAGGTGATTTGGGGTTTGGAATTATTCACACCTGGCATTCACAGCCAGCTGCCCGGCTGCTTCTGAAATGACAACATCATTCTCAGGAAGGCACAGTTTTCCAAGTTAAGTTTAGAGGCAGAAAATAGTTCCTTTTTCTTCTCTGTTTGGGAAATAATAGATTCTTGACACAAATATTAAAATTCATACTGTATTGTATGTTCTAGTTTATGGGGTTTTGAATAGCTGACAAAATAACAATTTTTTCCTTAATATCTTCTTTACTAAGCCCACAACTGAGCCCCCAGCGTGTCAATTAAACATGGGGATATATATCCACACAAAGAGAATGGAACGAGTTGAATCTTAACCCCATTCTCTTTGGCAACTAATGGAAAGACAGAATACAAGTGGACTGATTTCTTTCTCAGTCTATTTTATCAAGTCTTGAAGACACCATAACAGTATCATAATGAACTTTTGCTGTGGCCTGTTAAAGAATCTTCAAATTAAATAACAAGGTTTATCAAGTACCGTTTAATTTATATGGTTATTCAAGATGATGGGATGAGGAAGCAAGTCATTACATGAATTAGTTGTTTCTATCCATAGCTTTAAGGATGAAAAAAATCTGACTAAACAGATGAAAGAAGAGTTTATTCTTTTCTCCTCCATTCAAAAAAAGTTGAATCAAAAGTTCATTTTCTTCAGTGAAAAAAGAAATTTTTGATTTTTTTTACTTAAACATAGTTCAATTTAGTAACCATTTGTTGTTTGCCTACTGCATGTATGATCTTGAGCAAATTACTTAACTTTTCTGTGTCCCATCCCTAAAAAGGGAATTATAACAGCACCTCGAACCGAGGGTTATTGAGAGGATTTGGTGAGTGCATCCTCGTGAGACCCTTAGCAGAGGGTCTAGCATCTTAAATCAATCTGACTTTGTGTTGTGTGTGAGGGGCTGGCTGTTTCATAGTTCCCCATCTAGCAGCAGAGATATAAACAAATTATGAGACAATGTGGTAAGTGCTGTAAGAGAGATACGTGAGATAAGTGTTAAAGGAACACAGGCAAGCAATTAAGTCTGTGAAAGTGGGAGGAAGGGGGGGAGAGAGGAAAGGTGGCAAATGAACTAAGTCTTAAAGGGTAATTGTTATTTCATCTGCCTGACAAAGTTGGGAAAGCCGTTTCAGGCAGAGGGTATAACCAGATGAGCAAAAGGCAAAGAGATTTGAAAGCTCGTGATGTGTTCAACAGAAGAATCCACTAATCAGAGAAGTTTATGGGGTGTGGCTGGAGCTTAGATGCCAAATTAGGAGGGACAGCATATCACAGAGATTAAAAAGCAGGGATTTAGAGATGTAAGTCCTTATTCTGTCCTTTCCTTGCTCCATGGTCTTGAACAATTAGCTAAACTCTTTGAGCCTCAATTTGCTTATCTGCAAATTGGGGAATAGATAGTAGCAACCACTCCTTTAAAAGATTTGCTTTGAAGATGAAATGAGACTAATAATTACTATTAAGTACTTACCACGTATCAAGCACCATTCTAAACACTTTTCCCCTATTAACTCACTTATCACAATAAGTAGATGCTATTATTATCTGTATTTTACAGGTGAAGAAATTAAAGCAGAGGAATTAGACAACCACTTGCACAAGATAGCAGTAGGCAAAACATGTAAGGCAACAAGTACAGTAACCAGCCCAGAAAAAGCATTTCACAAGTGCTGGCCGTTGCTGCTGCTGCTGCTGCCCTTGTTACTTTTAACAAAGTAGCCAAACAAGATTAGTGACTAATGGAGCGAAAGTGAGTGCACAGAGGCAGAGCTCCAAGCCTTCAGAACTCGCCTCCACCTTTGCTGTTCTTCCTTCTCTCCCACTGAGAATCTGAAGGAAGCAAAGAATAGTAGTAGTACTAACACCCCTCTCTGCTTTCATATAGGATTGTATGACGCAGACACAGGAGAATCCATCTGATTTTTCAAATAACTTTTCAGAAGACTGTTGCTTGGATTTTAAAAGTGGGTTACACAACTCACACCAGGTGGAAAGTTTTACCTAGATCTGGTTCATATGCTTCAGTACTAAATCAGGTTTGTTACATTCTGTATAAAGTGGGGGTTTAAAATGGCTGGTTATTGTAAGCTGGATAAAATCCTTTCATGGAGTCAAATCACCTTTAAAACGTCCACCTCCCACACTTGATCTTAGCCAAAAGGCCGAGAAGCGATGACCATTATTCCCAGGCCACATCCCAGGTAATCACACTTCTTTCCCTACTCCGAAATCTCTCTACAGCCTGTGTAATGTGTTTGTAATTCGGCACAGTAAAGGGATGATTGGTGGAGAATATTCTGGCAGAATGATTCCATAAGTACTGTTTGCTTGGCGTTCACGAATCCGCATGGGCCTCCCTCTTTTCTAACTGTTGACTCGCAGTCAGCTGTTTACACACCTGCCCATCATTCACTTCATCCTTTAATTGAACCTGGCATTGGCTTAGGTTTTAGTCTTAAAGGCTCATTAAATGAACATAAATCGAGTCTTGTCTTCGTAGTTGTTTTTGCTACGCCTTTCATGGCTGAAAACACTGGCATTTCTTTAAGTTGTTGTTTTGCCCATTTGAAACGCCCTGCTTTCACCCCATTGGAGCTTTATTCTTTTTATTTGGCCTCTTCCTTTACCGGCAGTCCTATCAAGGTGATTCCATCTTCTAAAGTGATAGCTGCTGTCATCCTCCCATGCCAACTTGGTGGTGTTTGTGATCTCAGTGGATATAGTTTCTATTTAATTTTCCTGGGCACTTAGAAAATCAGTGTCAGCCTAGATGTTAGGAAGCAGGCTGCCACCCAGCTACAGGCCACGGTCAATTCACCTGACCTCTCAGTTCCCCCAACTGTATGATAAAGGAGATTTTCCTCTGGCTTGGAAAAATCTATCTGGGTCACTGATGTTCCCAGGACACTGATGACATGGTTATTCCTAACCAATATAACTTCCCACAAGTGACTCCAGTCCACTGAAAGCCACTTTCCATTTACAGTATTTCAACTAACTAGGTTTTTAGACTAAGCAGTTGTAGGCCTGAGATGATCCCAGCTTGTTAATATCAACACTGGAGAATATCTATAGCAC